GCGCCGTCCCGGCCCTGCGGCTGGGAGCCGGAGGAGGCAGCGAGCCCTGCCACCGCGAGCGGCCCCGGCCCCGGCCCCGGCCCCAAGAGGTACAGACAGCGCCGGGGGCTTGACCCCGCCCGAGGGCCGATGGCCGCCCCCCCCGGAGAAGGGCCTGGAGAGCACAAAGGTCGGCACTTGCAGGCGACAGCTCAGCAGAAAGCCTTTTAAGGACCACCAGTGGCAGCGGGGCATCAAAAGACAACACCCGGGACGCTGGTGCTGAAGCCCTGAGGAAAAGCGCGGCTTCAGCACAGCTCAGCAAGATTCTCGGCGATGGTTCTTCTAATGAAGGCATCTGCTTGACACTCGGAGAGGCCCACGCTGAGGGGTAGGCATATAAAGTCTTGCACTTCAGCACCGAGAGCCTGTTACAGACCATTTGGCCACCACCGATACAGACAGCTCTAGCAGCTTTAGAGGAAAGACCACAGGGGTTATTTTCCTCACCACATGTGGCAGGTTACTTACCTCTGTCCATCATTGTAACGGCCTTAATCACAAGCACACACTACACAGGGAGAGCCTGTACTTCGTCAGTTAAACGACATGCAGACCTTCCTGTTGTTGTTGGTCTTCAAAGTCCTACACAAGCTGTAACACTAGCTTGCATTTGAAATGAACCAGACACAACCACTGGTACTATACAGAGTTACCCCAACACCAAATATACTGAAGCACCTTTTAAAAAAAAAATATGATCATGTGGCTGGCAGTATAGTGTCCCAAGAGGCCACAGTGACCATTTTGATACAATCTGTTACTTGTCAGATCAAGTCCATCCAGCAGCTTACCTTTGCTGGCACATGGCTTCCTAAAAAAAGGACTGAGCAGAGTTTCACTGTTAGCCCCGACCTTCCATATGGTGAGGAAACTGAATTCACACTGTCCTACAACCAGCTGCTGCTTTTGTCAGATGAAATACACTCAGCTTACTTTGACAACACTTCTGCCTACACAGAGTACAAGCTAGCTTCCCAGAAAAAAAAACAGGAAGCAAGACAGGAATCATAAAAATATCTCCATCATACATTAAGTACTGCTTAATACCTTCAGACAGGTTTATACCAAGTCATCACTGAATACCCTCCATTGGAAGGGACCCACAAAGATCAGGTCCCAACTTCTGACTGCACACAGGGCAACCTCAAAATTAAACCGTATCTTTAAGAGTGTTGTCCAAACACTTCTTTAACACCAACAGGCTTGGGGCCATGACCACATCCTCACGGAGCTTGTTCCAGTGCTTGACCACCCCCTCAGTGAGTAATTTTTCCTAACACCCAATCTGGACTTCCCCTGATGCAGCATTAAGACATTCCCTTGCATCCCATCACTGGAGAGGACACCCCATGAGAAGTAGGATGACAAGTAGCCATTGCAGAATAATTAATCCCATTATAACCTACAACAACTACAGAGTCCCATAATTTGAGCATGGCAGAAGCTACTCTGAGTATTGACTACCACTGCCAGCTTCCTTTCCATGTTGCCTGCAGCTCCCAATTCAAATCAGGGTTAGGAACTTCAGCCTGTAGGACAAAACAACTCTTGCAGAGAAACAAGAGGCTCCCCAAGTTAAAAGTACCTACTTCAGAAAAAGATTAGCATGTTAGACATGTTTTGTCTGGTGAATTAGAACTCTGGACACTTAGGTTTTATAAAGCATCAAACCCAGTTTATTTCTTTATGCCTACTACTGAACAAGTGAGGCACTGGATTTGAACATGCTACACTTCAGCAGAACAGCTGAGTGCAAAATTTACTTAACACAGGTAACAAGTGATCCTCTAGTCAGAACATGCCACACAAAGTTTAATTAAAAAAGTAACTTAAAAGCCAGAGGCACTTACAGTAACAGTAAAGAAGATATTCATCACTCTTAGAACAAGATAGCAGCCTACTTGGAATTGCATTTGACTGAGCGTTGTTGCTGTGAATAATACAGCTCATGCACAGGTATGGATGCATGTTTTGTACATTTTAAAGTATTCACTGAATACTACCAACTTATATACACTCATATACATAGTTCCAGAAGATTTAAGAGAAGATTTATAGACAATGGTTCATTTCTGTTCATCCTTTGGAAGAGGTCTTCTGAAGAGAAGAATATGCGGTTCTGTGGAAATAAAATTGAACAGACTGTCAGTCTGTCCCCTAAGTCTTCATTACAGGGATTTCTTCCATTTAAGTCTTGAACAATAGTTGAAGCTTGCTGTCAAATAATAAACAGATTAATATGGCCCCATATGTAGTATTAACAGACCAACTTTGCAGTAACCTTACAACAGTCAAACAGGTGCTTTTGAAAGTTTTATACTGGTTGGAAGTATCATAAACTTAAGACACTTGCAGGAAGGAAGTACTGGAAAAAAACAGAGTATTTTTAGTTAGTACTGGTACTAAGTCTGTCTCTCCACATTAGGCTATTTGATGAGCTTTGTTACTGTAACTTAGGCTAACAAACTGCTGATGATGCTTGACACTATGTACCTAACAAGCACAGCATCAAAAGGCACTTCAGTTAATACAGCCAGCTTACATTATTATTGATCTGACTTAATTGTAAACTCCTCCAAAAAAGCCTGAAGTATCACAGGTGCCCAAGTAAGGGGAACACTGGGAAGGTTATACCAACTCCTTTACCTGGTTCTTCAGAAACTTGGAACTCCACGCTGCTGCAATTCATCTATCACCAGTTACTACTGACAAGCCTGACAAAAAAGTCATCTTGAATGGCTGTTTTCAGTACATCCTAGTTGACAGAGTTTTAGGACTTCACATCCCATTAATTGAAAGACTGGTTTTAAGTGCTGCTTTTAGTAGGCTGTATAACTAGAGTTCAAACTATACTGTAGACATTTCAGAGCATTAATACAGGACCTTGTCTACATGAGCATCTATTAAGTTTTTGTACAAAAAGTAGGTGTGCCAGCTTTATGATTTAAAGATATGCTGCTACACAAATTTTGGTTCAGTCACTGGGATACTAACATTATTCAAGAGCTCACAAGAAGCCTATTTCTAGAGGCAGAGGTAGGGAACAGTTTCCCATCTGGCATGTTTTGTCTACTTACTGGTAGACCACACACACCAAGGGCAAGGCTAGCATTTTGCAGTTCTGGGAGCAGGATGTGAACATTTAAAATAAAGGCTGTAATGTTTTCTTTGCTGACAAATGGCTAAAACAGCAAGGAGAAGAAGAGGAGCCTAAACATTCAGTAGTGAATTCCAGCTGGATTCCACAGCAGGAATAATTACACACTACACACTTCAGCTGAGCACCAAACAGTTGACATTTTAGACTCTTTTGTTCATCTAATTCTGTTCAGATTCGCTTACCTGGCTCATGGATCATATAGTGAACCCAGCCAAGACTTTGCTGAACACCAAGTCGTCGCCACTCCTCTTCAGACATTAGATGGGATTTTGGCACTTGTTTTGAAAGTTCTCTTGGCAGCATCACATGCCTGTAGAAGTTTAATTATTAAACACATACTACATACACCAATGCCTTTGTACACCAGAAAACTTGCACAGACCTACACTGAAAGACAGTAAGTTCAGTTATGAATACCAGCATTCCCTATAAAGGAGCCTAGGGTGCTGACTGATAGACACTACTAATTGGATTATGAAGCAACTGTCCCGGAATCCAGTTTTAAAATCACATTGTCTGCTAAACGTTACATCTGTAATGCAACTGTATATTGAAACAGTCAACCTACTTCCTAGAGGATATTAATGCCCCTGCATGCTCTAACCATGCTACTTCTGTAGAAGTATGTGTTGCTAGCAATTGGCCGTCATATCAGCTATTTGAAAAATAAGGACTTTGGGCTTTTAGAATGATTGATAAAGTCACTCTCTATTTTGCGTTTGGTAACCAACAGTATATTTTCCACAGAGACGAGAGTGCCGATTTAAAAAGATGGCACACTAACACCACTTAAGAGCCTGATCTGTCAGCTGAGGAGAAACATACAGCCTGCTCTCCACGTTTGCAAGCTCCTTTACCACTTAATAGAAAGCAAAGCATTCAATCTTGTTTTCGAGATCCTAAGAGTCAGCTGGTAAGAGGGACCCTCAGATCTCTACACAGAGGAAGAAAAATCCCGGTTTGTAGTAGGTGCTTCCAAGTAAGGCTAGAGGACTGAACTTCAACAGTATCCGTTGCAATCCGGAACCGACTGGTGCTACAACACAGCTTTGAAAACTAGCTGATAGAGCACCGTCTGGAAAGCTTGACAAAATACATTTGTTAATACTCTTTTGACCTGACCTTATGAACCGCCTTCAGAGCTGACGCGTTAATCAAAATGCACGCCTCGCCCACATTCACAGCTCGGGCTGAGGCAGTACAAGGCCTTACTCTCGGCTGCCTAGAGCATTCCGAACGCAAGGGGTTCGAGTTCCCCGTGTCAGCTCCTGAGGGCATCTAAGCGAGGGCGGCGCAGGGCCCGAGGCGGCCCCGACGGCCCCAGCCCTCCTCGCCCGGGGAGCGCGGCCGCCGCCGGGCCTCGCGCCGACAGCGCTAGCGCCACCGCCGGGGC